GTGGTCTACAGAGTAAGTTACAGGACAGTCAGGACTTTATAGCGAAACCTTGTCTCAACCCCCCATGGCCCCCGAAAAAGTTGCAAAAGTAAATTCAAGCAATAATAGAGGAAACATTATTATACTCTTGTTAACACACCATCACCGTCTGCAGAGCACACTGTTCCTTGCTTGGATGCATAGCACAAATGTATGGGTACTCTAGTTTGCTTTCTGTTACTGTGAAAAACATCATGACCAAAGCAACTGGGAAAAGAAAAGGTTTATCTGCCATAAAACTGTCCTACATTCTGTACTGCTAAGAGCCCTTCTGTCTTTTCTAGCAGCTACCTCCCTTTAGTATTCCTTTTATGCTCCCAGTGTCCTAAGCCCACACCTCTGTGAGCTCTTCTTGCCTGACAACCCAGCATTTGTCAGCTTGCTTTATAGGCCCTGTCACTGAACCTGCCAGTAATGGCACCCAAGAAGTTGGACATAACAAGCCCATAGAGTGACTGACACTTGAGTGAGACAACAATGATGGAGGGGCACTGGATGCCAGACATGATGATGGACTGACCAGTAGGAAACTTTCTTCCATGGCTTTTGCCCTGACTTCCTTCATTGATGTCACTGTACCTAAGGAAGGGAAATGGCTTCTAGGAAAGACAGAAGACTAGAACACAGGATAGTTTTGTGGCAATGTTTCAAATGTAGTAAAAGCCCTTCCTGGGTCTGAAACTGCAGCCAGAGAACCCATGATACCTGCATTCTTTGTTATAAAAATATTTGTTTTGGGGGTCTGGAGAGATGGCTCAGCAGTTAAGAGCACTGGTTGCTCTTCCAAAGGTCCCAAGTTCAATTCCAAGCAACCACATGGTGGCTCACAACCATCTATAATGAGATCTGGTGCCCTCTTCTGACATGCAGTACAGGCATACATGGAGGTAGAACACCCTATACATAAATTAATTAAAATATTTCATTTATTAAATATTTATTTTCAGTTAGATGTACATGTATGTCTTACTTCCTTCTTAAATGCTGTGACAAAACACCATGACCAAAGTAACTTACAAAAGAAAGATTTAATTTGGTGCTCTTTGGTAATGGAGGGTTAGAGTCTATGACTATCATGGTAGAGAGCATGGTAGCAGACAGGCAGGCATGGCATTGGAGCAGTAGCTGAGAGCTCACATCTTATCCACAAACAAGAGTCAGAGACAGCTAACTTGGATTGGTATGGAGTTTTGTTTTTTTTGTTTTGTTTTTTGTTTTGTTTTGTTTTGTTTTTTTGGGACAGGGTTTCTCTGTGATTTTGGAGGCTCTCTTGAAACTAGCTCTTATAGACCAAGCTGGCCTGCTGCCCTCAAATTCACAGAGATCCACCTGCCTCTGCTTCCCGAGTGCTGGGATTAAAGGTATGTACCACCAACGCCTGGCTTGATGTGAACTTTTAAAATTTCAAAACCTGTCCCTGGTGGCACACCTCCTCCAACAAGGTCATACCTTCTAATCTTTGCCAAATGTTCTACCAACTGGGGACCAATTATTATTCAATTATGAGAGTTTATGGGGGCCATTGTCATTCAAATCACCACAATGTGTGTCTGTGTGTGGGTATGTGCATGCGAGTGCAGTGACTGCAGAGGCCAGAAGAGGGCAGTAGATACTTTAGAGCTGGAGTTACTGTGAGTTGCCTGGTGTGACTGCTGGGAACTGAACTCAGGTTCTCTGTAGGAGCAGATGGCCAAAGGGCCATCTCTTCAGCCCTATTATTTTAAGTAAACTGTATTAGAAGTTTGAGGCACTGCAGTACTTGCTTTCCTACTTACACAGAAATTACGAACACAATGATGTCTGCTACGGCTGTGGTGGTAGTTCTCAGAAAGGAGTCACTCATCCCACAGAAATGAGCTGGGTGTGTTGACCATGCCTGATATCCCAGCCCCCAGGAGGCTCAGGAGGGGGATTGGACACACACACACACACACACACACACACACACACACACACACACACGCACGCAGAGAGAGAGAGGGAGAGAGGGAGAGAGAGAGAGTCAGTACTAGACCCCTGTCTCAATTCAACAGAAAGAACTGGCTGTGGCTGGAGGTCAGAGCCCAAGGTCATGGTGTCACAGGGCTATTTCTCTGCAGGCTCTGAGGAAGGTAGGTCCCTTTCTATCCTGCCTCTGGAGTAACCTCTTGACTCGTAGGTGTCTATCTGCATCTCCTTTCCCTCTAAATGATTCTTCAGGTCCCAGGACGGCCATTCCTTTGGATTTCAGGGCCACCCTGAGGCAACATGACATCAATTTTTTCCTCCTTTGGTTTTGCCTGGTCTTGAACTAGCTAGGTAAAATAGGCTGGCTTCCAACTCACAGATCCCCCTGCCTCTGACTTCCAGGTGCTAGGATTAACATAACAGTGTGCACCACCACTACCACCACCCACCCCTATTTATGTATTGTTTGTATGCATGGGAACGTGGAGGTCAGAAGACAATTTCCTCTCCTGTCACCTTGTGGAATCAGATGGTGGGACCAGGTCCTCAGGCCTGTATACAAAGGACTGTAACTGTCTGGTCCATCTTTCCAGCCCAGAGGATTTTTGTTTTTGTTTTTGTTTTTGTTTTTGTTTTTTTTTTCCTACTAGTTTTACACCTTAGCCTAGGCTGACTTCATGCTCATGGCCATCCTCTTGCTTTAGTCTTCCATGTGCTGGGATTGCAGATATAATTCTCCATGCCTGGCTATCATCTAATCCTAACTCATTATACCTGACAGCCTCCAATTCCAAACAAAGATTATTTCTCTCTTTCTTTCTTTTTCCTTTTTTTTTTTTTTTTTAATTTTGGTTTTTCTTTCTTTCTGGTATTGCACACCTTTAATCCCACTTAGGAGACAGAGGCAGATGGATCTCTGTGAGTTCAGGCCAGCCTGGTCTACAGAGTGACTTCCAGGAAAGCCAACACTACACAGAGAAACCATGTATCAAAAAAAAAAAAAAAAAAAACAAAAAATTTCTTTATGTATGATTGTTTGCCTGGTGTCTGGTGTCTGAGGATGTCAGAAGAATGGCATCAGATCTCCTTAGTGCCACTATGTAGGTGCTAGGAAACAAACCTACATCCTCTGGGTTTGTTTAAACTTATTTTATGTGCATTGGTGTGAAAGACAGCTGAGTGTTGGGAATTGAATCCTCTGGAAGAGCAGTAAGTGCTCCTAACCACTGAGCCATCTCTCTTGCACTGTATGAAATATTCTTCAAACCAGTAGCATATTTTTCCTACTCCATTCAGTGCAACAGTTCTGGGATCAGGATATGGTAGGTGATCTGATGTTCAGGTGCCAAGCAAGATATGGGAACTAGACACCCACTGCAGAGACCACATCTGTATTGGAAATCCTCTAGACTGACAATACTCATGAGAGCCTCATGACCGTGAAAGTGAAGCCCAAGGGTGGAGCCAACTCCTATCATCTCTGCCTCCAACAGTCCTTGTATGTTCATCATACTATTGACACTTACTCTGGGTTTCAATGGGCCTTAAGTTCCGAAACAATGGCTGTAATGGGCATTCCAGGACAAAGTAAGACTGATAATGCCCCAGCTTATGTTTCCAGTAAAATGAAACAATGTTTTGCACATGACAACATGAAACATATTGTAGGGATAACATACAGGACAATCCTACAGGACAAGCAGTTGTTAAGAGATCTAATCACACCCTAAAAGAGATGCTTGCTAAACAGAAAGGGGGTATGAGGACCCCCAGAGATAGACTACATAATGCCTTATTAACCTTAAATTTTCTAAATGTTAGTGAAACACAGACAACAGGGGCAGAAAGGCATTGGACCATAGAGAAAACTGTTCATTTAAATCAACCAACCGTTGTACTACAAGGATGCCATGACATCTTCTTGGAGAATGGGGAAGGTATTATGATGGGACCGTTGCTTGTTTCCACAGGAAATAATAAATTATGGATCCTGCTGAGATTTATAAAAATCTGGCATGAGCAAGAGACATCTCCCAGATGCTGCAGCTGCAGAGATGCCTCTGCAGAAGAACTTTGCAACAGACAGCTAATCCTCTCACCTGGGGACAGCTGAAGAATTTGTGTGACAAAGGAGAGGCAATACTTTGCATGACTCAGAAATCTTTGAATGCTACAAACTTATTTCTTGCCATGCTTTACATGGATATGTGCAGGTGAAAGGGACGGATAATAATTATTGGGATTTTATCCCCAATCCTCCAACTAACCTAGCAGTAAGTTGGGAAGATATGGATATTCCTGTGGTGGTTGATGAATCTTCTTGACTCCCTGGTCCTTATAACCCTGGTCCTGCTCAGCCAATGGAGGAGAGTAGAGTAATGGACAATTACACACTGGGAGTATAAGGAATTCTTATCTGTATGGGAAATGGAACTCAATGTCTAAATATAACCTCTCAAGTATGGCTATCCTTAGTCAATACTACCTAAGATGATTGTAACAAGTTTTATATGTGTCATGTATCTGGTTTTAAAGGACAGGAGATTAATACTACTAATCCTATAAATTTAAGGTTCTGTGAGATGTAGTTTAACAGCAAGGAATCTGACTGGATGCATTGGCAAAGATATAAAAGTAAGAAACCTTGAGTGCTAATTTATATCTCCCAAGGAGATGTCATTCACTGGAGTCCTTATGTTCCCCTCAAGGAAAATATTCTCACTCTGACAGAGTTAAGATAGAAATGGTATAGTTTGACTTGAACTGTAGAAACCAGTTGATTCTGGTTATGATTCTGTTTATTCAGCGGCATGGCGTTGGAATGGTAAGTCCTCTCCTGTAATTTGGCAATTGAATTTAGGTAACTTATGGAAATTGGCAAGTGCCTTCCACCCTCTTAAGGTGTCAAAAGGAAAATTAAACATTAAGGATGATAAATGCACTCTCTGTCTTTTAGACTTAATCAAAGCCATCCTTTTATGGCATGTATACAGTTGTTTAAAAGTGGGGAGCTGTCCATTTCCGGCTTAGGATCAGGGTTTGGGAAGGGGCTGTCTGTGGGCACCATGTCGGGCCGCGAAGGTGGCAAAAAGAAGCCCCTGAAACAGCCCAAGAAGCAGGCCAAGGAGATGGACGAGGAAGATAAGGCTTTCAAGCAGAAGCAAAAAGAGGAGCAGAAGAAACTCGAGGAGCTAAAAGCCAAGGCCACGGGGAAGGGACCCTGGCCACAGGTGCAATTAAGAAATCTGGCAAAAAATAAGCTGTTCCTCATATCTGAGATGATGGTGACCCTCTTCCATTCCTATTTAAACATCTGGATTCCCTACTATAACATCTTTGCCACCTACAGCTAGAATGAAGTGTTATCTTGGAGCCTGTTGTACATTGTAATAAACTTTTGTAAAAATAAAATGAGTAATACAATGAAAAAAATGGGGGGAGCTTTAATCCCAGCACGTGGGGGGCAGAGTCAGGAGGATCTCTGTGATTTCGAGGTCTGGTCTACAGAGTGAGTTCCAGGACAGCTAGGACTGTTACACAGAGAAACCCTGTCTGGAAAAATAAAAATAAAAACTAAAAGGCAGCAGGTGGGGTGGGATGGGGTGGGGAGATGCTATCATGAAGCAGAGCTTTTGTGGAGTTTTTCTCATTGGGGGAAGGGGATGGAAAGGGGGGAGAGGAGACCAAATTACCTGTATTGAGTGGAAGACAAGGCTGCCAGTGAACAAGGAAGCAAATTTGTTGCAGATGGAAGAAAGCAGGGTTGAGCTTGGAGCATGGTGGGTAGCGTACTAGCATTGAAGTGATTACCTTTTGGCAGGCCCTGTCACGCAAACACGCCACACTCAGCAGAGTTAGTGTAAGAGGTTTCCTGGAGAAGGGGAAAGCAGAAGAGAGTGGAGGGTACCTCCTTCCATCTATTGGATTGCTGGTAGAATGTTGTAAATGTCCCATAAAGTATCAGGATATAGAGTGCCAGGAGGTGGATTTTGGTAGGCTTATAACCCACAAGTGAGTCAAAGCGAGTGTAGGGCCCTGCATGGACCCCGAGGCACCTTGAGCAAGCCTAAAGCTGCTGGCCCGAACTCCTTGCCCCAGAGCTGTCATTGGTACTCCTCCTGTTTTGCTAACACACACCTGGTGGGGAGGAGCTAAGCCTGAAAATCCTGTTATTTTCCACTGTGCTGTAAGTAAGTATATAAGCCTAGTCCATCCCCTAAATAAAGGCATTCCAAAATTGCCATTGAACGAATGATCTGCTGTCTTCTCAATCTCTAGGCCTTCGCTGGATTCATGGAACAGATCGTAGCAAAAACAAGATCCAACGACTTATCAAGGGAGGATTGAGGGAGGAAGGGTCAAGCTGTCCGGTGAGTTGTCACTCAAGGTGCAGGGGCAGAAGGATTCAAGTGTAGACGAGAAACAAGAAAGGCAGAGGCTGCCTAATGAGTTGTCACACAAAGGGTGGGGGCCAAGGGCTCTGAGCCTGAGAGACCTGTGGTTGCCTGTACCAGGTCTGGTCAAGCAGTGAAGAACCACAGTTGAGAGACAGTCCTGACTCCTGGGAAATGGCCAGAGGAGGGGAAGGAAGAAAGGCTCCCCAATCATGCCAGTGTTGGATGGAGGAACCCGTTGATTCAAAGAAGCAAAGCTGTTGTATATAGATCATGTTCCAGGGTCTGGGTCTGCCAGTATGCAGGAGGAAACACTAGGAACCCAAGGGCAGCCCCGTGGGGTCAGTCAACGGGGACCCTGAGGGAGGGAGAGAGAATGAGGGGACAAGGGACTTGAGAGATGGAGACAAGACAGTATTCTGATCAGGTCTCATTTAATGAATATAACCACAGGGTTTAAGCAGTGGAGAAATGAGGGAATGGGCAAAAGGGCGGATGTGAGAGAGGCAGAATGTCCTTCCAAGAAGGATGCAGGTATTCTGCTGTAAGATAAGTTGCTATACGATAAGCCTGCAGCTGGGACTCTTTCAGGGTCAGGCTGCATCATGTTTAATAGGAGAACAGTCATAGGGGAATTGAAAATTACCAGTATGTTAGTATCGAAGAGAGTAGTAGGAAAGATGGCTGTTAAGATGCTAACTTTGCGGGCTAGAGAGAAAGTTCAGTAGTTAAGAGCACTGGCTGTTTTTCCAGAGGACCTGGGTTCAATTCCCAGCATCCACATGACAGCTTGCAATTGTCTCTAACTCCAGTTCTAGGGACTCTGATATCAATACACATAAAATAAAGGTTAAATAACTTAATAAATAAATAAATAAAATGCTAACTTTGCTCTGGGGTTTCCCACACCTTACTTGCTACTAAAGGAGCTTGCACAGTGGCACCCTAATAATTACAGCATCATTTGTGAATGCTGTACCCTTCTTACCTGTATTAATTCTAGTATGTTTTTTGGGGGGGGGGTGTTCCAGACAGGGTCACTCTGTATTGCTTTGGAGCCTGTCCTAGAACTAGCTCTGTAAACCAGACTGGTCTTGTGAACTCACAGAGATCCACTTGCTTCTGCCTCCTGAGTACGGGGATTAAAGGTGAGTGCCACCACCGCCCGGCCTCTAGTATGTCTTTTAACTTGACCTTTGAAAGTTTATATATTATAGCAAGGCCAGCAATCTGGGTACCAGGGAAATTGTCAAGGCCATGGCAAGACTCTGTTATAGCAAGGCCAGCAATCTGGATACCAGGGAAATTGCCAAGGCCATGGCAAGACTCTGTTATGAGCGGTTTTCCCTGCCGGTCTGGTCCCACCACTGCGCCAGCCACAAATAACACACTGAGACACTGTATTTGATATAAAGCTGTTAGCCTGTTACTAGCATTTCTTATTGGCTAGCTCCGTCTTAAATATTAACCCATTTCTATTAGTCTAAGTATTTCCACGCTGTCTTATCTTACCAGAGAGAGGGCCTTGAGTTCTATGCTGAAGGTCCTACATTTCGAAACTCCTCCCTCCTACTTCCGGAATCCTCCTTGTGGAACCCTCCTTGTCTCCTAGTCCTGCCTATCTTGCTTTCCTATTGGCCAACAGTGCTTTCTTCATTAACCAATAAGAGAAACATGTTTACAGAATGACATCTCCCATCAAGACTATGATAATCCTGCTACAGAAGCTCACTAAAAAGAACACATTGAATGGTTGGACTGGTTATTGCAGTAATTGTGGGAATCATTATGTTGACAGCTGGAGTGGGGCTTCATAAAGAAATTCAAAGTGCTGAGTCCTTTACAGACTGGCATAAACATTTAACAGAACTTTGGACTGAAGAAAATAAGATTGATGATGAAATAGTGAATGAATTAGCTGAATTAAGGCAAGCTGCTATATTGTTAGGGGGTCAGTTAGAAATATTGAAGGAGCCAGGTGGTGGTGGCGCACACCTTTAATCCCAGCACTTGGGAGGCAGAGGCAGGAGGATCTCTGTGAGTTTGAGGCCAGCCTGGTCTACAGAGCGACTTCCAGGACGATGGCTGTTACATAGAGAAACCCTGTCTCAGAGAAAAAAGAAAAGAAAGAAAGAAATATTGAAGGAGCAGATAAAATTAAAATGTGGTTGGAATGTTTCTTCTTATTATATTATACCTAGGGTGTTTAAGGAAAGCAAGTATGATTGGGATAAGGTTAAGATGCATTTGGTGGGTTATCCTAATTCTTCTCAAATGGTTTATGATTTACAGAAATTAAAGAAGCTTTTACCACAAGTTACCTGATACCATACAGATACCATAGCATCATTCAACCCTATGAATCACTGTAATAGATTTTTTATTCTAGCAGGTGTTGCTCTCGTTCTGGCAACAGTAATTGTATTGACTTTAACATATGTTTGGTTTCCTTACATAAGATTGTAAAACAGTAAGATGGGCAGTATATACTGTGAGGCCACATAACCTTCAAGGTAATGAAATGGGTATCAATGAAGGTCTCTGCGGGGACACCCCGATGGGCTACACCTGGGTCTCTGTGGGGACACCCCGATGGGCTACACCTGGGTCTCTGCGGGGACACCCCGATGGGCTACACCTGGTCTCTGTGGGGACACCCCGATGGGCTACACCTGGGTCTCTGCGGGGACACCCCGATGGGCTACACCTGGGTCTCTGTGGGGACACCCCGATGGGCTACACCTGGGTCTCTGCGGGGACACCCCGATGGGCTACACCTGGGTCTCTGCGGGGACACCCCGATGGGCTACACCTGGTCTCTGCGGGGACACCCCGATGGGCTACACCTGGTCTCTGCGGGGACACCCCGATGGGCTACACCTGGTCTCTGCGGGGACACCCCGATGGGCTACACCTGGTCTCTGCGGGGACACCCCGATGGGCTACACCTGGTCTCTGCGGGGACACCCCGATAGGCTACACCTGGTCTCTGCGGGGACACCCCGATGGGCTACACCTGGTCTGGTCCAGAGTGGTAGCACCCAACCCTAATCCATCTTTTGTTTAGTAGATATTTTTTATTTTACATATCAACCCCTCCCTTCCCTCTTTCTGCTCTCCCCTCCCTGCTCCCCCTTTCCCATCTCCCATTCCTCAGAGGGGGTAAGGCCTTCTTGGGGGAATCAACACAGTTTGCCATTTCAGGCTGAGGCAGGACCAAGCCCCTCCCTCCTGTATCCAGGATGAGCAAAGTATTCCAACATAGGGAATGGGCTCCAAAAAGCCAGTTCATGCACCCGGGATAGGTCCTGGTGCCTAGTAAATACCTTCTGTTTTTCTTGTCAGCCTATGTGACTCTTGTCTGTAGAGTTTCCTGATGGCACAGAGCCTATGCAAAACTTGGTTAGAAAACAACCCAGAAAATTGTGGTATTTTTTAAAAATGAGAATTGCATTTGGCAATATCCCTTTGGAGGCAGGTTGTTTTGACGCTATGGAAATCAACTTACTAAGGTAAAAATTTGAGAGCAATAAAAGCCCTGGGAATGGGAAAGTGGTTCAGTCCTAAGAGACAAGAAGGCTAAATTCATTCTTAAGGTGCCTGAGTCTTCTTTCCACCGACCCAGGTGAATCCACACCCGCACTGCAGGCAACAATTAGTCCTTCCTTGACCTCCCAGAGATCCACCTGCCTCTGCCTCCCTCTGCTGGGATTAAAGACATGCATTACCACTGCCCGGTGATGTTTTGTTTTTATTTTTTGTCTATTGTTTTTCAAGACAGTTTTTTTTGTTGTTTTGTTTTGTTTTTTTTGTTTTGTTTTAGACAGGGTCTTACTATACCACCCTGGCTGGTCTAAAACAATCTATGTAGACCAGGTTGGCCTAGAACTCACAATAGTATACCTGCCTCTGCCTCCTTAGTGCTGGGATTAAGGCATACACCCAGGGGATGAATTTATTCTTATTGAGCATGAAAGTCCTCCTGGATCCAATAGTAGAGCGATTACAGAGCATTTGC